GATGCGGAGAATGGCCTCGAGAGTCCCACGATGTCCGCCACCGACTTGCCCGTCGACACGACGAGCCAACCGGCAGAATCCCGAGATCCGGACGCTAAGCTTCACTATACCTCATCAAACTGCAGTATTGCTCGCTTCGCCCACATCATGTGATTCAGCACTCGGGCCTAGTCACCCCTGCCCAGGTACTGAGCGAAGCACCACCTTCGCCGGAGAGCGACTGGTGGCTGGCCCTGTGCGTGGCCGTGCAGCAAAACCTTTGCTGCGGCCGGGTGCGCTGACGCGACTGTTTCGAAAAACACGTCTGGAGTGCTCTGATTCTTTTGGTGCTTGGTTACATGGAGGTTTCGAGCCACTCGTAAACCCAGCTGATTGAAACCTCGAAACACTGCATGTGCAGCATCGTTTCGGACTGGAAGTTTGCGTCAAGCTTCGAAGCTTCCGTCTTCCCTCCAACATCCTCAAACCTCACAGAATCGAGGTCGATGATCTTCTTCTCTTCTTCGGATACCCGCACGGTGCCAAGCGGCCCGAGGCCGCGGAGATGTAGGAGCGGGGCAGGCGTAGATTTTCGGGGGTGTGTTGCTGGTCTTGAACACCGGTAACATGTAGAGGAAGTTTGAAGTCGAGTGTCTCACGCTTGTGCGACATCCTTCAGCTCAGCGGTCAAAATTAATCGAACTCGACGTAAAAGGAAACATGTGGGTGCCCATTCGGAGCCTCTGCTGACAGCAGCTTTGACAATGGATCTACATATCCGGTTGCATACTGAAAAGAAACGGACCCGACATGGATGCTCCGAAGCTGCTCAAAGTCTGCTTCATGTGCCCGAGCAGGCACCATCCATCAGCACTGAGAAATGCGAGAGCAAGTAACGAACGGTGAGGCCGCCGGCAGCAAAAGGATGCAAAAGGGATGTGACGCTCAGGAAAAATGGTCTCGGGGATTAGGGATGTGAGCGGCTCCCTACTGTTGCCTGCAACCTGATGGCAGAGTGCGGCGGAGCTGTGTGGGGAGATGTTCTACAACTCTGTTCGAGGGTTTCGTGGGAAAACACTGGCTTTCTTCCGCTATTGCTGCTGTCAAGGTGGGCAGTCGTGAGTAGCATCGGGCAAGCGGACCTGGTTTTCGATCTTGTACGTATTAAGTATCGATGAGACCTGTGATGATATCCTCATGACTATGCGCAGAGTGATTTGGTAATTTGGTGGCCTCCCGCCATTGGGATTAGGATGTGACGCGACGCCCAGGAGCTGTTGGTCCATGTGCCCTTGCCACGCACCTTTCGTTTGTGCTGTTGCATGTGGGCTCAGCCGAATTTTCTCAACTTGGAGCCATACTCGGAGACGAGCGTGAATCCGAGCGAAGTGCAGCAGAGCGTAGCTGCCCATCGATTCAGCAAGTTACACAGGGGTGAGAGGCATTCAGGCTTCTCCACGCCCCTCTCTCCCTTCTCAAGCTCTGAATGTCTGAGGCAAAGTGTCAGTCTTCGAGAGATGGCTGGTGAAGCGAAAGAAGAGCTGGGCACCGAGTTTGGACGCAGAGTTCCTGACCCTGACAAGACCACCGCTTTCAGAATGTTGGCAACCAGTCAAGGAAGGCAGCTTGTCTAATATGAGCCATACAACATAAGTTAATGGTGTTTACTAACAGGATACCTTTATTTAATAATATGTTCGGTAGCAAGATAATATTATGTCTCGCTATGACGCTTTAGTCGACACAATTCCTGATCCGTGTGCGGGCACTAGCCGCTTTGAGAAGCGGTAGGCCAGTTATCACAAGAAACTTGCGGGGGCCCGAGCCCGTAAGCAGTGGCAGCGGGACAACCTTCATTCCCGCCAAGAGTCCATGAGCAGCAGTAGGAGCAGCGACAACTCGTCCGCCAGCGGCAGCTGAAAAGTCCATTTGCTAGTGCATGTCTTAGGAATACAGACATGCATCCGCAAAATCCTGCGTTTACTACTACGTATCTGTAAGCCTGTTTTCCATTTGCCACATGAAGCGGCACGCACTACAGCCGCAGTATCGTCCGTTGCGGTTTGACAACAACCCACATACATACCATGCATGCATGCATGCATGCATACATACATACATACATACATACATATATATATATACACACATGTATTCATACATATGTGTATGCATAGGTATATATGTATATACATGTATATTATGTACGTATTATGTATATATGTATATTTATACCTTTCTATGTATAATGTATGCGTATACATATATATATATACACATACATACACGTAGACATGTCTTTGTATGTGTTCCTTTTGCAGAAGGGAGGGCTAGAAACCGAGGTCCGAGATGGAGTCGCTACAGAGGTCAATGTCAGAGATTGACGAAGAGCGCAGGACCCGAGCCAGGCTTGAAGGTTGAGTAGGTTTTTGGGTCCAGGGGTTTAGGGTTTTTGGCTTTAGGGTTTAGGGCCGAGCGGCAGTTCGCAAGACAAGCTCTGCCATGTTGAGGGCGAGTGGCCATGGTTCTGCCTGTCCACAGTCCACAGTACCATGACGGCGGCTATAGTCGGGAAGACTTCGCATAATAAGCGGTTGTCGCCACACTGTCGACATGTTTCTTGCTCGGCTTTCGTCTCGCCTTTGCGGCTGTCGACGTGCTGCGCGTGGCAAGTGGAGTGGTGATAGTGTCAGTACTTGAAGTTCAGATTGAAGCACTCTCACCACAAGCGCAAAGTTAAGCTCACAGTGGCTTGAGTTTCAGGCAAGCACGCCAGGTACGCGGCGCAAGCAAATTTACCGCAACATTCCATCGCGCAACCTCCCTGTAGAATTGGCTCATATATTAGAGAGGTTGCATGCCGATTCCAGCCTTCACTGCAGGGTCCAGAGCGTCGGAGCAACTTTCAGTCCATTTGCATAGAGCTACCAGGCTGTCGCATTCCTTTTACGTTGCCCTGGGGTCCTTGTTCTTTTCCAGCTTGAGATGGATGCTCATCAGCCCGCCTCAGGACCTGGCATATTCGAGCGCTGCAGGCAGAGGCGGAGGCCAGTTGGTAACACATGGTCGCAGAGACGCTTTTGAAGGAGGATTTCTGAATCACGGTGCTGGCAAGGACACGACTGCAGCATGAAGTGTCGTCAAGAAGTATTTGTTGCCGGCACGTCAGGTGCGAGCCTTGAAGCGACAGCGGCATGGAAGCAGGCGTTTTGATGTCTTGCTGGATTGCCGGAACACTGACAGCACGCCTCAACCTTAAATGTCCTTAAACTTCCACTTGGCAAGGGCAGAGAGTGTGTCCAACGATGCCGAATTGCCTGGCGCTCAAGTTCAGAGGAGATGATGTGACTGTTTTTGCATCATTGCTATTAGGGATGTCGTGGTACAGGGGAGATCTCGTACACGTATCGTGCAAACGACATGCATGGACGAACCAAGGCATGAGCGACAGTTTAGATTTGGGAAAGGAGTGATATATGAAAGATACTATCTTGCGTTTATATGTCCTGGCTCCATGAATAACGGTGTTATGGTACAGGTGCGATTCCAGCACTCGCTCCCAATGGGGCACTAGTCTTTACAAAGATCTACGCTCGTCCCATGAAGTGCAAGCCCTGGTGCGAGGCCTTCTCCCGGCTCCGCAGAGGCACCTGAGGCACGACGGAGTTCAGGATGCGCTGAGAAGAGAGCCGGGGCTGCTGGTGGTAGAGGCTAGAAAAATGTCGGTTTTGTGAGCGCCTGCTTGATGCACTGTATCCTGGACATGGTGACCCTGAGTATTGTGCTGCAATGTTTGGATAACTTGCAGTTGCTGGTGCTTACGCTCAGTGCCTGAGCGCCTGATGTTCGGATCTCTGATCCCCGCAAACTTGTCTTCGAAAGACTCCCGGGGGGTCAAAGCTCGGCCTGGAGGGTCCTGAATGCGCTGCTTGAAACGTGAGCACCCGCAAGAGCAGCAGCTTGAGTCTGCAGGCATGACAAGAGTGTGATTGCATGCCTCCCTCCTCCATGAATCATTTGCGACCCAAACTCGTGCGCCCCCGCTGCGAAGACGGAAGTGCTAGCCTAGAACAAGTTCGTGCCAACTCAAAAACCGCTGCGAGGCGCGTGACATGCGTCCGTTGCAGCATGTAACTTTCTTTGGCATTGATTCTGCAAACCCACATGACTAAAGACTACACACTGCGAGCCTGCGAAGCAAAGCAAGAACAGCAGTGTGCCAGCTGCTTCGACCAAATCGTCAGAATCGTCAGAAATATTTGCCGTCGCCGAGTTCAGACTGCAGCTTGGAGCTCTCAACACATGCCCTGTGCCTTGATCCAAGAGGCATCGCGAGCAGCTGCCGCCGGAGCCGGTGGGCCGGAGCCACGGACATTGAAGCGAAGCCACGGAGCGGTCGACGTAGACAGCCTTTGTGTACTGAGGACTGCGGTGCCAGTGGCTTGCATGCATCGGCTACGGTTGTTCACGGTTTCCTTATTGTAACCGTCACATGTCGTGTTGATGATGTGTCACTACGTGGGATGCCGTTCATCATCGTTCTTTTCTCGAGCTGTGATCATTTCAATAGCCTAATCCCCAACTCTGCAGGCTGTCATTGCTGTCCTCCGTGATTCCTCTTACTGTGTCAAAACGTGCTGTTACGGTGGTTCTCGCTGGCATCACTGCTGCGATGGCTTGGAGATGCTGGGAGCATTGCCATTCCCACTGTCGGTGCTTTTCATATTACGAAGCCGCCACTGCTGCACCCCAAACACCAGGCAACCATGCACTTTCCAATGACTTCGGTGCAACATCTGTGCCGCGCCCGACAGAGATGCAGAAACCGTTGGGTGTGTCACGAGACAACTACTCGCGGTGGCATTGCCCGAAACACACGATCCCACACGAAGCACGGCAGAGTTGATCGGCTGTTTATCGGCATTGATGATATTGTTGATTGCTGGGGCGATAAGGGTCAGGAGTACATTCGAGCGAAGCACCAGCCATAAAATGGAGGGTGCTACTGGTATGCAAAGTATGCAAGAGAGAGAGCAGCGCAACCGAGTCGACGATGTTGCGGATTGAAGCCTTTGTTCTCAGTCAGCACGATCGCCGGAAGCAGCAGCTTTACATCATCATCATCATCATCATCGCCGCCATCACACACAGCGAGACTTATCTCAAACTGCGAACGGCCATCCAATCGGCCGAAGCTAAGGAGATGCAGGAGCCCAGCACTCGGACGATGCAGCCTAGCCTCGGAGCCAAGTCTCAGAGAGTCCGAGGCTGCGCGAGCAGCTGGAGAAGAAGGATCGTGCCATCCTCCAGCTGCAGGCTTCCAGAGCACTTCCGGGGAATGAGCTTTTGAATGCAAAAGCAAGAGCCCGTCATCACAAGGTATATTTTTGGCAAGTCAAAACTTGGAGTGTACTGCAGCTCCATTTTTTGTCGACTGGTCCCGCACGAAATCATGCACCTTTGCAGGCGGACAACCACCGCGAGCAGCAAACCCGCGACAAGCAGTCTGCCGAGAAGCAGATGCGCCTCGGAAAGTAATTCCTGCTTTGACCTTTCTCGGTTTGTAAACGTGTCGAATGCTTGCAGTGCAGCAGCTCGAACAATGAGGATGCTGAGCGAGGAGTTGCGCGAGATGACGCAGCGCAGCTTGGATATTCTTGATGAAGGGCCCCGTGTGTCGGCGTAGTATCCTCGTGGAGGTTAGCTTTATTCGGAAGCTCCTTGAGATGAGGCGCAGAGCACTTGTCGGAGCAAGTGCGCAAGAGCAAGAAGCGCGGCACAGAGCTGCAGGACTAGGGTTTGTTTGTGATGCTTGAGGAGCCATCCATCGTGTGTCGGAAATTGAGGGAGGCCTGTTCCGCTTGCTGGTTCAACTCTTGCAGTTCTTCAAACATTTTTTCAACCAACATATGCCAATATCTCGAGATCCCCAACTTTCGAAAGACACTCTGCGAAGCAGCGTGCCTGAAAAGCCTCCCAAGGAGGCCAAGGACTCCGTCCGCTCCGAGCTTCGGGAGTGCCAGGTGGCCCTGGGCCTTGAGATTCCCAGAGACATGTCAAGGGGCTCTTGTTCTTTTCCTCCATGTTGCTTCGTAAAGCAAGTTTGTCAGGGAGGGGGCCTGATTTTGTGGTTTAGGGTGCGGAGTGTTGGGATCTGGGCAGTGGCTTGGGGCAGTAAGCTTTGTTGCTGCACAGACATGCACGTCCCGAATACTTGAGACAATACAAGACGAACAGAATCACCATCAGCAAGCAAAGTGTGTTGGGGAAGTTCGCCCGATGCATATTTGTTGTTTCTTGGCATTTTGTTGCTTTTTCTGTACTGTGATAGTGATGAGTCTGTCTTTGTGTGTCTTTCTGTCTGTGCCTAGCGAGTCTGTGTTTGAGTTGTGTTTGTGTGTGTGTGTGCGTGTCTGTGTGTCTGTCTGACTGTGCGTGCTTGATTTGTGTTGTTTGCATCGTGGTGGTTACTGCAAGAACCTGCGATTCCGCAATACTCAGCTGCAACTCTTGTAATGAACTCTCCCAGGTGTGTATCCAAAAAGGATGTTCGCGGAAGTCGCTTAATTCACGAGGGAGAGCTTTACTGAACTTACTGTTTATCGATGCTGCTAACCAGAAGGCAATGACCATGAGGTTAGAAGTCAAACAGTCGGAGCCGTCACAGAGCCGCCTACAGCTGGGGATGTAAAGCATTCTTGCGTTATGAGATATTCGACCCAGAAACCGCCGGCGTTCTGTAGAGTAAGAAGCACATGCAAAACAGCGACCAACCAGTGACATCAGCAAGCGATCATCTGGCATGCTCGGCCAAATGGAATCAGACTGCGAGAATGTTTGACTGGTTTGCATGGTTTGTTCCGGCTCTGCTTTAGTTTTGGGCGTGGTTGCTGCCTGGTGCTGTTGTCTCTCTCTACTCTGTGTGAACTGTGAGGAACGCTACCGAGGCCAATCTGGTAAACCCGCATGTAAAATGCATGACTGCATGTATGTATAGGTTCACTGTTGCGCGACAGCATATACGGAGAAGCATGCGTTAGCACCTGAGGTCACTAACAAATTATTTAGATGTTAATGTATTGGTGTCAGCTCACTGACCTCAGTTCTTTGCTTAGCTATCGTATGCTATCGTCGTTTTATCAGAGGTGCTTCTTCAACGATGCGTGTAACAATCTCCGCATTTGCCCTCGAACAGGCGCAGCTCCGGAAGGAGATTTCGGCCACGGGCTTGGTTGTAGAAATCACTACAAGTAGTGCGCTAGCATGTCATCCTGCGTGCCATCCGACACTGACTGGCGCCGCTGCACGCAGATGTGGAGTACAGGATTGGCCTGCGGAATCCCACATCTCTCAAGAGCATGTGTGGTGCCGCGAGACTCGTTTCTGCCACGATTGTTCAGTAAGGTTCGTTCTGAAATTCAGACGGAGGCCATGGAGGCAAGCGCTTTTCTTTCCCAGCTGTCATGCTCAAGACTGCTCGCGAAGCTCTCGGCGTTCAGAGTGCAGGCTGAGATGTTCTTCAGCCTCAGCGAGACGAAGCAGGCCTGGCGTGCAGCAACGGCGGGCCTTCAGCGGCGAAGGGATGTATGGAAACCTTCGCCACAAGCTTGGGGCTTTCTTTTGCCGATGCACCCAAGCCCGGAGATTCTCAGCTGCCAAGCCTCGTGGAGTAGTCAAAGCTCTGCTGGCTTCGAATGCTTCGATACAATACTAGGACTAGGAGTTGGGATGGAGGCAGCAAGTGATCGTGGAGCCTCGTCATGTGCGTTGCGTCGCAAGGAGGCGGATGCCACCGACGCCATCTCCTTGGGTCTGCCTGGTCATGTTGCTATGGGTTTGGTGCTGCCTCTGAATCGGTGTCCGGCCATGTACATCGATGTAACTCTGGGTCTTCTTGGGTGATGATGCACAGTCGCGAAGTAGAAGCCAGACAGGAAGAACATGGGCATCCAACCCTAATGCCAATTCCTTTTCTTTGCTCCCACTTTCTTGTTTTTGCCGTGCGACCTTTGTTTATCTTTTGCTCCTCCGGGCTCTGGCACGCTGGGCCTCTGTCCCTACCGATGTGCCGCCCGGCCTTGGTTGGCAAGCCTCTACAAAGCCAAGTCACTTCAAAAGTGCGAGTTGGGCTGGCATGCGCGTGCACGTATAACTCCCCTATGTTGACCTTGGGGTTTGATGAGACAAACTTTGCCCAAACGCCGAGCCTGTGCTTGTGTGCTTGAACCTCTGGTATCCCATGCTGCATCCCCAAGTTTGTGGTTACGCGGAAGAGATACGGTGCACAGAACAGCGTGATGCCGATAACTGCGCTGACAGGAGGCTAGAACCCGTGGATCCGGCACATCGGCATGGAGTTGTCAAGTCCCGGTGTTCGGCTCGAATAATATCCTTGGATTTGAGGGCTTTCATCTCTGGCGATTCGGTTTAGGTGGCAGCACGTGGAAACACATGGTAGTAACGAGTCCCAGGTGCAAGGTCTGCATGTCTCGGCCAGGTGATGATGCATCTGGTGCAGGCACAAAGAAGCTGCCAGGTGCCCCCAGCTATTTTTGGGTCTTGAGCATACGTCTTGGCACCAACAAATTGGACTCCGTGAGCAGCATGTCTGCCTTTCTTTGAGATGTTGTCTGGTGTTCAAGCCAGGTGATGAGGCACCTAGCGCAGGTGCAAAGAAGCTTTCAGGCACGGCAACACCGCCTTATCGATGTGTTTGGACGAGTAGGATGCTGGTACTATACCTGCATTTTGAAGCTGCAAGCTATGGCATCCGACTTGCAGGCTACCAGGGTAAGCTTGCTCAATGCCTTGCGGTGCTGCGGAGGCTCGGTACGGAAACGGCACATAGCACCAGCCTTCAGAGTAGGATGGGGGATCCCGGCTTTGTAGTTGTTCGAGGTTTCACGGTTTGTATGGAATGCTGGACGCTGGCATGTGTAGGTGTTGACAGGTGAATGCACAAGTCGGACAATTAGGAAAGTCGTCTCCCTTCTTCGGCCACACGCCCCCCCTCCCCCTTTCATTCGAGAGGTGCAGTTTTGGCGTCTGTCGCCAATTCGAAGAAGCTTTCGATTTGGGGTCACGCCGCTTCCAATCCATGGGCGCGCTGGGTGTAGAGATTGGCAGATAAAGCCGCATCTTCAGGCAATTCGAGCATTCTAGCAGGATGAGAAGATCTTATGCACGTGCAGTTCGTCTCGCATCAACCTCAGTGGCGATCTGACGCGAAGATATCCCGAGGAGACACACCCCAAGCCCTGAACTCCCTCCCGTAATTTTGAAGAATACTAGTATACTACAGTATATTATACCATACTTCTCTATACTATTGTACTGCATTATATTCTATCATGTTGAGAAATATGATTACATTGTCAGATGAAGCCGTGCCGGCAGGCTCCACGGGGAGCTTTCCTCAGAGCTCCGCGCCCGCGCACCAGGCTTCCGTCCTGGTCGGTGTACAATAAATCAGTAAGTAAATCGATTATTATTGTTATTCTATATATATATACACATACATATGTGTGTGTGTATTTTTATTTATTATTTATTGTTTATATTTATATTTATACACAGACATACACACATACGAATGGCATGCAATATATCAAATAATATATCAAATAATACGTTAGAATACAATACAATACAATACAAGACCGTAGCATGTCATACCACATCATATCGTAGCAGATTAAACAAGTTGATACAACACAATGCAATATAACTTAATATAGTGAAACATATTATAACGGAATGTGTATATATATATAGAGAGAGAGAGAGAGAAAATAATTCCATACAATATGGTATAATGGAATTTAATATAGCATGGCAGAACATGATGCCATACGATATGGTGCGATATGATATATCATGATATACATATATATATATAATATACACACATCATTCTCTTCACGGTCATCTTCATCTCCATGCCCCACTAAGGCATGGCTCTTAGCGTCTCCTCGGCATCCGTCTGACAAGTATCACGTACCACCACAGAAAACTCTGTCAGTGCAGATTATGCAGCGAAGAGCAAGAAGGAGTAACTAAGGATAGTAAGAAAGCTAGCATCGAGAAGAAGAAGAAGAAGGACGACGAGGACGACCACCACCACAACAACAACAACGACAAGCACAACAACAAAAAATGATTGACAAACAGAAGCGAGAGCTCGAATTGTCAACACTTTCTCGTTCGACCGCCATGAATGCAGCGTCACATCGGCATTTCCACTGTTCCGGCAGCTGATAGAGACTCTGCACACAAACCCCAGAAGCATGAGACCGATGATTTCGAAGGTGACAGGGATGGCGGATGACTTGTATGAAAATGATGACTGGTTACGCTGCTGTTGACACTGGTGGCGATGGCCATCGCAGTAGCTCATACACACAGCAATACTAGTGACAATTGTCGCGATGCAAGCAAGAATCAACGAAAGCAGAAACACTAAGAGTCACTAAGAGTTACGAATGATGGTGATCAGAATGCCGACACGACCACAAATGCCGATCAAACGACCGTGATGAACACAGAAAAACATCAGAGCAGTAGATGGAAAAAGGCACATGCAGGATCACAAGCTTGGTATGGCAAGGCAGGAGTAGGGACCGCAAAATCGAACTGACCCGCATAGCATGCCATTTGGTGAGCTGCCGATATGACAGGTAGAAGTTCCGACGACTCGGAAGTTGCAGCCTGAGCTCTTACTCCAAGTCCCGGTCGGAAAGACTGCACCATGGCTTGAGGCAATGACTCGGATATTCCAGCAGATCGACAAGGCAAAAACAGCCAGTTCAAGTGCATGTTTTGGCTTCTTTCAGACCACATTCACCGGGCCATGCCAGATCCACAAAATGTGGCAGTTCCGACGATCTTGTGCAGCTGGCAGGCGCAAAATCTCATTGACGGCGTGCTGCCAAGTGCCGGAAGCAGCCCACTTGCTGGGGCCAGATCCTCTGATATCCCATGCTGCGGCTAATCAACCAGCTGGTGCAACTGTTTTCGGGTGTTGCCGATCGAAGTGCAGATTGATGCTGCCTTTGGTTGTTGTTCGAACACGCCCCGTACTTAGATTCATACTCCTTGAAAGCAGTTCGCAAAGCTAGCAAGAATACGAGAATAGCAATAGCCATCGTCAGGGTCGCCATGGATTAGAATGATGATGCTTCCTGTCAAGTCGGAGATGGGACGGTATTGGACAGCACACCTTGCTGCCTTTGAGGCCGGCCCGCCTTCGTCGAGCACCAAGCAGCCTGCAAGCGTTGGCCTTTGTTGTCTCGGCCGAGTGTTCAGCGATGTTTTGGGAGAGCATGCAGAGCAAGATACTCAAAGCAAGATGAGCATCATCAAGGGAGGTAGCTGACGTGCTTGCCGTGCATCTATCCGAATCTATCCGATGGATGATGCTAGCTTCTGCTTGTGTCGACTTGAGTATCCAGCCTCATTGCCCAGCTGGTGTTCGCTTCTTAGGCCCAGAGGCAGAAAGGCCGCTACCCGAGGCGCACTTGGTGTTCAGACCCTGGGTCACAGAGCTTGGGCTCCTCTGAATTTAAAGTGGCACCTTCTTTTCAGGTTCGGGTGCCCATATTCTTGCTAACGAACTGTTTTTGTTCGGCTTGTCCGGGTCAAAGACATCTGAATCTGTGATGTATCAAACGTCTCGTGTCAAGAAGGAACCGTCATTGAAATCGGGGAATGGTTGAACAGGTGGGGATGTCGGTCGTTGGGAGTTTCCTGTGTGACCCCTACAAGATGTCCCTAAGCTTCCACATCGCCTCCCGCACTCGAGGACCTGAAGAACCTGGTCCGGGGAGTCTCGACCCCAAGTTCGCTCGTGGGCTCGCTCCTGAGAAATTCGGGAACCCGGACCTCGATGGCGTAGCGCTGCCGCACGTGGGTGTAGAGTGTAGAAGGGAGACATTTGCTGAAGTGTCGTGAAGGGCTGGTGCCCGCCATGCTCCGCTTGAAGTCGCTCCAATCTTGAGGATCCCCTCCCAGCAAAGACTCCGAGGAGGCCTGGGGAAGGGTCGGACGGGTCCATCGAAAGATCTCGAAAGCAAGCTCAAGTGCGCCTGTTGCGCATCCGGAGCACGTCTCACCAAGACGAGAGGGTCAGGCGCGAAAGTTGGCAGGCAGACTCTGAACTGTAGGTCTTGTTGATGAAGCTGGACATCAACGAGATCCGTGTCGCTGCCGAACTGGAAAAGCAGGCCGTGCCATGGCTTTCCCAAAGATTCCCCAGTCTCGTGACCAAGCCCCACAAGTGCTTCTTGTCACAAAAGTATAAGGGCAGGATGAAGTCGAAACTAGCAATAGCAGCTATGGGGCGTTGCTCTGTCTCTGCCCAGAAAATGATCACGGAGCACTGCGATGAGCTAGACGACCTCGTGCGCCGACACGACAAGGATTGGCGGGCCCGTCGATTCCGACCTATGTCCGATTGAAATCGCGATCAGTCATGTGGAAGACTTGGACAGGGTGCCTTCCAGGGCCGTTGCAGGGCCTTTAATGGGTGGTAGCAGCAATCGTCGTCGAAAGCAGGAATAGGAAATGGAAGTGCTGCTGGAGCTGCAGCTGACGGTGCTACTGCTACTGTTGCACGTCAAGCTCTACGGACTCACACAGTAATCGTTCCGCCGAAGGGCTGCCACTGCTGCTGTGGTGCTGCTGCTCCTCCTCCTCCTCCTCCTCCTCCGCCTCCTCCTACTGCTACCTGCTACTGCCGCTCCTCCTCTTGCTGCGGTGTATTATCATTGTGTTGGTATTGTTGTTTTTGTTGTTGTCATCATTGTTACCACCACCACCACCACCACCACAACCACCACCACCACCACGACCACGAGTACGACAGTTGTCTTCATTCTAATATCGTGGTTATGTTGGCTTTGGCCATGATGATGATGGTGGTGGTGGTGGTGGTGATGACGAGGACGACGATGATGACGATGAGTATACTTAAAAGTAGTAGTGCTAGCAACGACAGCAGCGGGAGTAATAGAGTAATTGAGCAGTACTTTGTAGTTTGAGCTTTCTTATCGTTTCCTCCCCTGGGAAACGGGCAGGAGAGGCGGGAGTTGCACAGGGAGCTGGCCGAGCTACGCTCGGATCACGCTCGCGTCGAGGAGCCGGGGAGAAGTTGCCCTTTCAGGGGCCCTTTAGGGAGCCTTTTTGGGTGGGCCCTGAATTTGGCGTAGGGGAGGGTTAAGGGTTTTCCAAGCCCCGAGTCTGTCCAGCGCTGTCATGAAGGGTTTCGCAGAAGGTAGCGTGGGATCGTGGGTTCAGGGATCTAAGGTTCTTTCTGGGCTCAGCGCAAGCAATAAACGCAGCAGCGTGCGTCTCGGGGTCAGAGTGACTGTTGACACAACCGAGACGGCATTCAACATACGCTGTACCAGCAACGACGACACATTCGCCTAGTGGAGAACCGCTTCCGACTAAACCGCGATTCCGGTCAGCTTCAACTCAGCCTTTTGGCCGAAAGTGTACATGCACTTGTTTCTGACACACTCGCTTCAAGCAAAGCCTGAATCCCACCGCCAGGCGTCTGAGACGCTTCTACAGCCTCTACAGGCTGGACATCTTCGAAGTTTAGCTTCATTGTCTGGACCACTTGGTCAAGCTCAAAAGTTCGAGGCATTGCAAATCGAGAAATCAGGGTGAGTCGGTCAGTCTGGTTCGCGTTTTGAAGTGGCAGGAGACGTTTGACTGAAGTTTGTGGCACTTACAGTAGAGTGCCGCAGCTAATCTGTCCAGGAAATTCGTGAGCATTTCGAGAGCCAGGCGGGACACGGCAATCGGGTACTCGTCTTCGCGTCGTTTGCAAGGGTGTTGGTTCTCCCAGTTGTAGTGGAGTGGGTGGAGGGCGCAGACGTGTACCAGTCCAGTCTGATGCACAGACGTCAAACTCCGATTGCACTGCATTCAGGCTCCTTGTCGACATGGTCTACTTGGAGTGGGTGTGTCGTCGGGTGGGGAAACAAGAAACGGTCGGAAACCCTCGACCTGCAGTGAAACGACGGATGAAGACTGAAGCCTGCTTGAGCCTGACGGTGAATTGGTAAGCCGCACAACAACCTGTGACGTCTTGAAGATTACCAGCCGAGAGGCGGCTTGTGCAGGGATTCGAATTTGCGCGGCAGGGGCCAGCACTGAGCGAGTGCCCGAGGTCGTTCAGGTGAAGCAGGAGCTTGTGACACAGTTGGCCGTGAGGGGCTTAGCATGTGCTTCACGACGAGGCGAGGTGCAATTACTTTGCATAAGTAGCTGACCTTGGCTGTGTCTTTACGTGCAAGAACCCAGCAGCACTTTGGCAGCTACATAGCATGGCTGCATCTAGCAGAAGCATTGCAATGCGAAGCAAGGATATCCAAGAACGAAATCGTATGCAGAGTGGCCAGCACCTTACCTCAGATCGGATGTCCTCAGGCCATCGAAGCATCGAAGTGCGCTCCTAGGAATGCTTCGGGATCCGTGGTGGTTAAGTGCAACCCTCAAAAATTCGAGGCGAGGTGCAACTGGAGATGCGTCAGCTCAGAGATGAGCTCAAGAGGCCGATGCAGTTCATGGCGTGAAGTGAAGGTAGAGCTGTAGTGTTGCATCATCTTCGCTGCAGCAGCTAGTGATGTCAGAGACAGAGCTCTCTGTGCACTGGCATACCTCAGTCAAGAAGCGAGGTGCCAGGACGAGCTCTCCAGTAGCCAGGCCGAGTTTCGGACGCTCTCCATGCTCTACGACAAGGACTCACGGTAGATGATCCCTAGGCCCGCATTCCCTAAATCCCTACTGAGATGTGCTGTCCTTCTTGCGATTGAGGAGCAGCGCGAGAACTACCGCCTGCGGCAGACTGCCTGGCTTCTTGATTTCCTGGTGCTTGCCAAGTCGCCCACTTCCAGCGCATGTTTCCCATGACAGGGAAAGCCAGCAACAAAGTGAGATGGCCTCCGGTCGGCACGAGGCTGTGGAACGAAAGATGCTGGAGTTTAGCAAGAACGGACTGCTGCAATGCTTTACTCAACTCGCAAGGCCATTGGATTGGAACCTGTTGCCAGCGATGTGGCATCTGAGCTTGATTGGCGGGGATTCGGCAGACCGTGTCCGAAGAAGAGCCAAAGCTAGGCAGCTATGTATTGGACCTAGGCAAATCAGCATCCCACCCTCACTTCGGCAGACTACTCCATGGTACCAGCCTCAGTTCACAGCTGCCATTCACAGCTTCGCTCCGGGTTGCCATGCATGCTTGCACGATTTTCTCCACAGAAAATTCCCAGTCTTTGGAGGGCCGAGAAGGTCTGAGACAAGTCGAGCTCTTGAGGACACCACCGTGGCAACCGACATCCTGCCCGTGTCCGTGGCTTCTCCGGAGCGCGCCCACGAGGCGAGCTCCTCTGCAGCGAAGTTGCCAAAACCGGCGTGTTTCCGGAGGCGGCGACAGCGAGCAACAGCAACTCTGTCACGATGGTGGTCGAAGAGAGCCAGCAGAAGCCCTACCGCACTGTCTCAGGTCGAAAACTCGCAGCACCCCACCGCAGCACTTGCTTGTCGTAGATTGATCACAGTGCTGACGGTGTTAAACATGTTCACATGAATGCTGCTGCTGCGCTCAGGGCAGCAGCTGGAGCACAGCTGCAGGAGCGGTGTGCATCAGGGAAGAACAGAACATAAATTTGAAATAGGTGACTTACACAAGGGCCTTGCATCTTTGGGGGGTGTTTTGTCGCAAATCGCTGCTCCGCCGATGGTCTGCAAGACGAAAACTGTCGGATAGGTCGCCGGCATTCCTGCGCCGCTGCCGGCACCCTCAGCCGCGGTGAAGCAGGTGGGCATGAAGATCAAGTCCACAGCCAGGTCCCAAGACCTTGAACGGTGTACATCCCAAGGTAGCATTCACGAGTCAACTTGACAGCTCCATTGCGCTTCCGACCTCAGCAGCGATCCTCAAGGTCCAGGATGAGGGGCGAGAAGCGCCAGCAGCACCACCACTTGTGCCGACCCCAACGCAGGCAAAGAACTGACTTTCAGCAGGTCCATGGCATGTCCATAGCAGCAAGTATGCGGCTTCTTATTCAGAAGCGTGGAAGGCTCGGCCGAGCATTCCCGCGGTGTCGGGCTCCCTGGTGCTGCCTTTCGGCTGGGCGGATGTACCGTGATGTTTATGTACTTTCGTACTCGAGGTCGGTGCTACGCACAGCACTGCCAATTGCTGCGGTCCAAAGCCGGACACTGCCAGCAGCAGCATTTCATCAAGCACATGACAGGCAGACTCATGGAAGTGCATGCGAGACACGTCAGAAATGCTTCCTTTGCCGTAGACCGCACTGCTGCCAGGCTTGGCACGATGGCTGCCGCTCCCCAGACCCCCACAGTGTGCTCGGTAGCTTGACTCAACCTAATTCTGCAGCTGACATGCTTTTCGCTTGCGGAAGCTAAGAAGAACTGCAGGTGGTGACCACCGGCCCAACCTCACACCGAAGGCATCCCGGCAACCGTCGAAGTCGCAGATCGGAGCAGACAGAGTGCTTGGCTCGCCCTTGTCACAGGGTTGGCACCACCACCACGACCACGACCACCACAAGGCCCTTCATCCCGCTAAAGCCTCAGAGCTGGAGCAGCAGTCAGGAGACGTGTCGAAATGCCGGCTTTGGCGGATCGGGCATCAACAGTAGCATGGTCGGACCCGGCGACCCATGTTTCTATGGCGGAAGCAAGGCACCATCGAAGTGCGTCCACCTCGTCATGATGTGGGAAGCAAGCTGCACTGTGATGGCCTGAGCATCGGGACCCCGAAGTCATCGGAGAGAGCTGCAATTGAGGTGGAAAGCTGTAATGCCTCCAAACGACATGCCTTTGCATCACATCGAGGTCGATCAGCTGAGCTGACCTGCAGTTTTTCCCCTCTTCTGGGGGTCGGCCTGCGCCTTCCAGCAGGGGGGTGCAGACCTCTCCCCTTGCCGCTCGTCGGCGGTACGGCTAATGTAGTCCCCAAAGAACGAAGAAGGATTAAAGAGAAGACATCATGGCACGATTCCACAACAGACACTTGCTATCCGGCAGATTTAATCCGTCTTCGACCTCCACTCACCATTACATATTCAAAGCGAGTGGACATGTTCCTTCAGCATCCCGTGGATAGTCGGACAAGCAGGTTTCCAGCGTGGTTGGAGCCAGCGGTATTTAGCAACTTCACGAGATGCCAGGAGTGTGCTCTGTTCTGGTACGATAGGGGTGTGAGGCATGTCTGCGGCAAGCACCTCACTGAGCAAATGCCAGAGCTGGTGCTCGAACGGCCGTTGTACGGACTCAGGATGGTGATGCTCAGCACAGGAGTCTTGAAGCAAGATCCAGCGGTGTTGCTGGTGTTTGTTCTGCCTCCTGGCGGAGTGCATCGTCCGATAGATTTCTACAACGTGTCGTCTGTTATAGACGTGGGGCAGGAAGAGAGCCGCAGCCCAGTTCACCACACCGAAACAAAAAAGCCCAGCGACAAGTGGTTTCCTGAGCAGCTGCTTTTCTGTGGCATTCACAGCTCTTGGCGAGGGTTTTCAATTCCTGCCCCGCGCTCAGCGGCTATGCGAATGGTAGCTGCTGCAATAGAGCTTCCCCTGACGAGCGGACTGGACCCCACCACGTGGAGACAGATCTCTAAGCACGAACATCATTGGCGGGGTCTCCTGTGACGAAGGAGAAGCATTGCCGGCAGTTGCCAAGTCCGCAGGTTGCCAAGAGGCAAAAAGCTGGAGACAGTTTTCTTTGAGGTCATGACGTCCAGGGATTGCATCATGTGTTGAAACCTACGGCCCCGCAGCTCGAGGACTGCTGACTGGCTAATGCATGCCCATTGCTTTGTACTTGTAGCATGTTTGCAATGAGGTAAGCATTGACAAAAAGTCGAATCGCCAAAGATGTAGACCATATGACAATGTGGTCCTGCTCGCTTGACAATGACACCCGCTCAACCAAGCTGACTGGCCAAAAAAGTCAGCCTTGCACAATGACAATTCTCCACCACGAACGTACGATGACTCCTCGCTCTCGCTGGGTTAAGAGGTGGCTCGAGGTTCAACTTACGGACTCGAAGTTCGAAATGGTTCGAAGGTCCAGGTCGTGCGATGCCGGCTGACAATGAGGCTGGGGAGACGCGCAGGAAACAGCTCTTGACCTGGCATGCTACTGTACTTGCAACAGAGTTTCAGCAATGCGCCTATTTATGTAGCAAGCCGTGGTTCAGAACTAGTTCAGCAGCAGGCCCGCTCAGAAGCAGGTCTGTGTGTCTAGTATCGCATGTGAGAGACTAGCCGCTGCTCTGCCTCCGCTTGAAAAAAATTGACAATGACACATGTGTTAGGCATGTGGTTTCGAGACTTGGAGGTGGCTTTTCGAACATTTTTTCTGTTTTAAGTTTTGGCTCCGCCCAGACATTCTGGAATCGACGGAGGCATTTTGCAGTATGGTCAAATCGAAAAAGTTGTTTGGTGGAGGCGGGAAGAAACACCTGACCAATTCCAACCGACTAAACTTGCATCCAGAGCAGGCAGGTTCAACGCCCCAAGTGTCATCTCTCAATGTTGGTGTGTGCCAGAGGTGACTTCCAGTGACGGACCCTGAGGCCTGGCGTTTTTCACTACTCTCTGGTAACAGCTTTCAGCTGGCATCATCTGGAGATGATGCATCCGTGTTCATGGAAGCTCGCGATAGTTACATAGCCTGCGAACCCTCCTCCACTGCGTGCGTTTGTCGCAGTACCTTTCAGCCCAAGAAAGCTTCGGTCCTGAACAGGAAAACGAAGACCGGACACATGGGCGGCGGAGGCAGCAGGGAGATTCATCACCACCATGAGGATAAGGCGTCCAAAGAGCTCGCTCGACAAGCCCAAGAGCAGATGGAAGCTCTGCGCCGGCAGCAAGAGGCGCAACGGAGGATTGAAGAAGAGAATGAGCGGCGGCGCCAGGAAGAACTTCGGCAAGCGGAGCTACGTCGGCAGGAAGCCGAGCGCAAGCGCTTAGAAGAGCAGGAAAATGAGCGACGGCGTCAGGAAGAGAAGCGCCAAGCTGAACTACGGCGTCAAGAGGCAGCTGAACGCGAGCGGCAGCGCCTCCAGCAAGAGCAGGAGAACCGAAAGAGAGAAGCCGAAAGCGCTCGTGCAGAAAAGGAACGACAAGCTCGGGAAGCCAAAGAACGCCGGGCTCGTGAACTTCAGAGGGAGCGTGACAACGCGCACAGGGCCAAGCTTGAGAAGTGGCAAAGGTTGAAGCGAGACTATCCGATCCCAGACTTCCTCAAGGACTATGCCAACGAGGTGAATCCTGATGCAGAAGTAGAGGCTCGTCGAAGTCGTTTCGCCAACTTGGCCTTCGTTGGAGATTCAGGAAATGGTAAGAGTTCCCTGATCAAAGCCATCCT